CTGCCTCTCCTGATGGAAAGCCGAGCGGTGGCGAGGGAAACAGCTCCCGGCTATTCCAGAAATTGGGAGTGAAATGCGGTCGGAATAAAGAGGCAGCCCCAGGGAGGGCAGGAGGGAGCGCTGGGGGAGCCTGCGGCCATCCCGACTTCCAATCCGGCTCCTTTAGGATTTAGTTTCGGAGCGGAGCAGGAGGGATAACAAACTCGGGAGACGTTTTTAATTGCAGATTCACGATCTGAGCTTTTCCCGAGGCTCTCCCTGGGAAGAACGGGGGGAAAGACGTTTGAAACCTCTGCCCTTACCCGCAGGGAGCCTGGATTTATTGTTGCTGTTACTATTATTATTACCGTCGTTGGTGGTTTTATTATTCTATACTACTAATATTTGCTATTAATATTATTTGCTATTATTATTTATTGCTACTGTTATTATTTCCCTGAAATATTAGCACTTAATGAAGTAAGGCTCGAGTTTTGGGGTTCTTTTTCTAAATCTCTGCCGTTCTCTGAGGCCCTCGACCCCCGGCTCTTCCCATTTAGCTAAAGCTCCAGAAAACTGGGGTATTCCCGAACCGGGAATCGAAGGACACCTCCTTTTTCATTTCGCCACGTTACTAAAGCAGCGAAGCGCCTGGTTCCCCACCTTGCTTACCCAATCCTGCCTTCATAAAGTTTACTTAGTTATATCAATAGATTAAATGTCACGTTTAAAATGGAAGGGGAAGGTTCTCCCTTACTGCCCTGTTTTCCATTTCTGATTTAGAAAAAGGCAGGATTAGCATGGATATTGCATTCTCAAGGACCTCTCCACTATTAAATAGACTGTTAAGTGCATTTTATGGCTGAAGAGCCCCGTTCCCAGCTCAGTCGGGCAGACGTGCTAAGTTCATCTCTAACCTGCTACATTGAACACTCACTGACTACAACGCTTCCTGCGGATGGAATTCCTCCGCTCTGGAGCTGCTCGGTGCATAACGCGTCCTGGTTTAGGGTTAGTCAAAGGTAATTCAGTAAAACTCCCTGGAACAGAGGTGTTGCCATTGGAGAAATCCGCTCCGCGGGGTGCGGCCAATTGCACGGCAAAGACTTAAGCGGGCGCGTATCAAACGGGATGCGCTGAACGTTCAGGCCGAGCCCCGTCCGTAGCAGCGGCTCGGCGGGGTTGTGCTGCGTAACTTCCGCGCCTCCAAAAGCTCCCTACACCCCCGAAACGGCTTTTCCGTCCCTCCCGCAGCCGGACCCCGGAGCGCACCCGGCAGCGTCTGCCAAAGCGCCCCACGAGCGAAATTCCCATCGAATTCCCGGTCCCCCGGGAACCGCCAGAGGAAAACCCGCCCCCCACGTAAAGCAGAGGCTCCGGTGGGCTTTTCCCGGTAGTGGGAGACCCTCACGGAGGATGAGAACGGCGATTCCCAACCGGAGATTCTCCCCCCTCCACCCCGTGTGTTCCCGGCCTTGAGCATGGGGCCGGCGGCGGGGAACGGTTCGGGCAGCGCAGGGGGTTTGCGGGGCGGTCTCTGGGCAATTCTCCCTCGATTACCCCGGCAGGGACGCGAGGCAGCGGGGAGCCCTGAGCCGCCCCTGGGCAGTGCCTCCGTTGCCGGATTCCTCCCGCACCCCTCCGTGGGACAGCCCCAGGAGCGGCGTCTCCCCCCGGGGAACGCTCCTACCGGTGCCGCCGGCCTCAGCTCTGCCCTCCCGCAGCACCGGGGCTGTAGGGCTCGACACGGCCGCTGCCCAGGGGCGGCCCGCGGGGCTCGGGGGCTGGAGGGCGGACACAGCCGAGCTGTGGGGCTCCGTCCTGAGGAGCAGCCTCCATGTGCAGGGAATACATTGACGTTAATGACTACAACAGTCGTTTTCCTGCCGTTTCCAACGCTCCCCGCGATCTTCCAACACCCCTTAGCCCGTAACTTTCTGCCCTGCGCTCTGCCTGGAGGGGGATTGATTATAAACGGGGCGGGGGGAGCGCAATTGACGCGGCCGCGCAAACGGGAAGGTGCCCCAGGAGAGCCGCAGCAGTCGAGGGCACGGCCCTGCTGAGCCCGATTCGTTCCTTTTGCAAACAAAAAAGCGGGGTTTAGATTAGAGCCAGATCCTGTCTCCAGAAATAATGGAGAGTCAGGGGGTGTCTGGCTGCAGACGCTCATTTCCTTACAATCACAGGGTCTCTTAATGGTTTGGGTTGGAAGGGACCTTAAAGCTCCTCCAGCTCCAACCCCTGCCACAGGCAGGGACCCCTTCCACTGGAGCAGCTTGCTCCAAGCCCCTGTGTCCGACCTGGCCTTGAACACTGCCAGGGATGGAGAACGTTTTCCCGGTGTTTAGGATCCGGTTACTTTCCATACACCCCAGGGACCGACACGACACCTCTTATACTAACGGGCATCTGTCACCGGCCGTGTCGGGTTTTGCCATACGCGTCGGGCACAGGTTTGTGGAAGAAGAACAAGAAAACGGCTGCGGAAACTTCGCCTGGAGACGCTGTCTCCCGTTTCCCCGGCCCGGCCCTCTCCGCTCCGCGGTGCCGCCGCACGCCGTGAGAGCCGGTTATGAGCCCTCCCCGCTTCGGGAACCGGCTTCTCGCTCCCTCGTCCCGCCGTGCAGGAGCGCGCCCATCCCGGGCACCGGCCGAGCTCCCGGCCCCAGGGGTGAGGGGTCCCGGTCCCCACGGGAGCCGCCGCGCCCCCTGCAGGCCCCGCTCCGCCACTGCAGCCCCCTCCCTGCGGCTGCCGCCGCCGGGAGCCCTCACCTGCCCGCAGGGCCCCCGCTGCCGCCGCTCCTGCGGGGAACCAGCGGGTCCCGCGGGAGGAGACCGCCAGGAGGGGGTCCACGGCCTCTGCGTCCCTCCTGAACCCAGCGCCCTCCCGGTGCTGCCCGGCCCCGGGAGCCGCCGCCGCCCCTTCCCTGGGAGAGGCTTCCCCAGCGCCGCAGGGTCCTGCTGGAAACGGGGGCCGTTGGAAAACGGGGGGTGAGGAAGAGAGAACGGAGGTAACGGGGGGGTTGGGAGGGGAGAGGCGCTTCCCGGGGCCGCGGCAGTGGGAGGGGGCGCGGGGGGGGGGGAAAGTTGCCTGCGCGGCGCAGATGCCGAGCCCGAGGTATTGCTGCTATGCGGGGAAACATGAGCGAGTAATTTTATAAGTGACAAAGGCTGGGGTGGAATGAGCCCCGCTCACCCGGTGTCCTCTGGAAGCCCCGGGCCAGCGGCTTCCCGAGCCGAAACGCGAACTCCGCGGCGGCTCCTTCCCCTTTTCCCAGGGGTATCCGGCCCTAAATATAGAAATAACCGCGGCGGCTGCCCGACCCCCCCCCGACCATTTGCTGTTTGTGCAAACCCGATGAGGCACAACTGGGAAACGACTTGTTACCCATGGAGCCGCCCCCAGTAAGACCCAATTCGGGGGGACACCCCCCCCTTTGAACCCTCAGGTGAGGGCCCCCCTTCCCTTCCAGCCCATCACCGTGGCCTTATTAAAGTTCAACCTCCCCCGTCGCCGGGCCGCTCGTTTTAGTTTAGTCTCTGTCTGCCGAGCTCTAAATATTTCCTTAGGATGAAATAATATTTACCGCTTACCGGGCCGCTTTTATTTACTATGTGGGTTCAATCCGCGGCTCCCGGCGTGAAACGAGCGCCTCGGCCGGTTCCTCATCCCGCCGCATCCCGCCGCATCCCGCCGCAGCCGGTTTTCCTAACAAAGACAGCGAATTATTTGGGCGGAAAAAATGAATATCTATTAAAAAAACAAAACAAACAAAAAACAAAACAAATCCAGCAAGGTTTTAAACCCCCAGCGTTTTACGAAGCAGAGAATAAAGCGTCAAACACCGTCCGAGGGAAACGGTGCCCGAGATTAAACCCCTCAACGCGCGTTCGGAATCCTACAGATCTATTTCATTTTCATTTCAACCTCTGTCTTTATTTTACCCCCGCGACTGCAGAGAAACACACACAAATACAGCGCGTTCCGAACGTTCGCAGCAGGTTTAAAACTCGGTTAGGAGGAATTCGCTGGGAAAGGCCGTTCCCACCCGTGGGAACGCGGAGCCGCTTCCTTAACCCCGCTTATTTCCCCGATTTAAACGAAAGATCCGCGCTCGCACACGGCTCGATTTTCATTTTATCGCCTCTCACCCTGCAGAATAAATCCGAAACGTTGCTTAAATCGCCCCAACGGCTTTTCTTTTCCATCATTTCCCTTCTAATCAGCCCCAAAAGCCAACCGCGAGGGTTACCTATTCCGGCTGAACGGGGCAGATCCCGCAGCGCCGGGATGCGGAGCCAAAGCCAGGCTGGGAAAAATGAATGTACCTAAGGGAAAATCCCGGCACGGCGCAGGGGGGCCGCGGATCCACCGCGCAAGTTTGAATACGCGAAGAATCGGGGCGATGCCGCGGATGGAGCATCGGGACCGGCGGTTGGGAAGCCCGACCGCATCGCTGAAGCTCGGCGGGCAGGGGAGAGCTGTGCGCTCCGCGGATGCGCGTTTCCATCCTCCGCGGGTGCGGAGCTGGACCCGCGGGGGGGTGCGGAAAGATGCGCGCTCACACAAAGGCGGGCAGAGCAGTTTAAAAATTTATTTACAAAGTTGTGTACAACACGAAGGGATAACATTTAGAATACATATATCCATCCATATATAAACAGGCTTTATAATAGAGTGACAGCGATTGCCTCCTGGATTCCTTCTTTTTCGCTCCATTTTTTTTCTCGCCCGTTCAATATTTAAAATTTCCCCCGTTTATTATTATTATTTTTATACATTTTTGTCTCTTTTTTTTTCTCCCTCGGTTTTTTTTTTTTTCGTTTTATTTCGGATAAAACCGCTCGGAGCGCCGGAACCTTCAAAAAAAGTGAAAGTTCGCAGCTCCTAATGGCGACCCTCATCCGCCTCTTTAGAAAAATAAAAACCCCCAAAGCAACGTCAGTGATTTCTGATACAAATATGTACAAGCGGCGGGGGCCGGCAAACGGGGGGGGACACGGAGGGACGGTGCCCGCTGCGCCCCGAAGGGGCGGCCCGTGGCGGCGGGAGCTGCCCGGGGCTACCGGATCAACCTCCCTGCGGCTGCGGGGTGTCCCTCCCCGGGGCTACCGGTTCTCCTTCCTCAGGGCTACCGGCTGTCCGTGCCCGGGGCTACCGGATCTCCCTCCCCGGGGCTACCGGCCGGGGCTACTGCGCCGGCCACTTGGTCTGCACGGCGGCGGCGGGGGCCGCGGGCTGCAGGAACTGCCCCGCGATGATGTTGGTAGGCACGCTGAGGATAGGGGCGATGGCAGCGGTGGTCCTGGCCAGCGCCAGCGGTTGGTGGGCCATCAGGGCCGACTGCACGGTGACGGGCGGCCGTAGGAAAGTCTGGGCGCTGGCGGCCGAGCTGGCGGCCGGGACGCCGATGATGTTCTCGATGCTGAAGGACGGGCGGCTGCTGGGCTCGGATTTGACGATGGAGCCGGCGGCGCCCAAGCTGTTGAGCTGGAGCTGGAGGCTGGGGCTGAGCTGGGAGTTGAAGGCTTTGCGGCTGAGCTCGCCCGACGGCAGCAGCGGCACGGCCGGCGGCAGCATGGGCCCCACGGGGGGGATGTAGGGGTACTGCAGCGCGGCGGCGGCGGCCGCGGGGTGCGTGTAGGCGCCGGGGTGCAGCCCGTAGGGGCGGCCGTAGGGGCCGGCGAGGCCGTAGGCGCCGAAGCCCTGCATCATGAGCGCCGTCTGGTCCCGCAGGTGCTCCTGCTGGTGCCGCTTGAAGCGCTTCCTGCGGCGGAGGAAGCTGCCGTTATCGAACATGTCCTCGGACTGCGGGTCCAGCGTCCAGTAGTTGCCCTTGCCCGGGTTGCCGGGCTCCCGAGGGATCTTGACGAAGCAGTCGTTGAGGGAGAGGTTGTGGCGGATGCTGTTCTGCCAGGCGGGGAACTTCTCCCGGTAGTACGGGAAGCGGTTGCTGATGAACTCGCAGATGCCGCTGAGCGTCAGCTTCTTCTGCGGGCTCTGCAGGATGGCCATGGTGATGAGGGCGATGTACGAGTACGGCGGCTTCACCAGGCTGCTCTTGGGCTTGCTCTGCCCCGCCGCCGCCCCGCCGCCGCTCGCCCCCTCCTCGCCGCCCCCCTTGCCGCCCTCGGCCGCGCCGCCGGGGGCCGCCCCGGCCGGGCTCACGCTGCCGCTGCTGCCGCTCTCCGCTCCCGCGCCCACCTCCGCGGGCAGCGCCAGCTCCGCCGCCTCGTCCAGCGGCAGGCGCGGCAGGGCTGCGGGGCTGCCGGCCTCGCCGTCGCTGTCCTTGCCCGGCCCGTCGTCGCCTTCTCCCACCACGTCGATATCCACATCCTCGGCCGCCGGGACGGCGGGCCCGGACATGTCGCTGGCGCTGCCGCCTCCCGACAGGGTCATCCCCGCTCGGCGGACGGGGCGCGGCGGCGGCGGCGGCGGCGGGGCCTCCCTCCCGCACCCGGCGGCGGGGCGGGCAGCCCCCGCGCCCCCCTCCCGCCGCTGCTCCGACCGGCCCCTGCGGCTACACCCGAGCGGCCCGGCTGCCCGCCGCCGCGCCGGCCCCGCGGGGCATGGGGCGGCCGCGCCCGCTCCTCTCCCGTCCGCCGCGTCCCGCGGCGCGGGGCTGCGCGGTCACCTCCGGCTGCGCGCCCCGCTCCCGCCGCCGGGCATCGGGTGTCAGGCGGCGATGCAGGCTCCCGCCCGCCGCGATGGGCGCCCGCGGGCGCCGGGCATGGGGCCGCCGCCGCCGCGGCTCCGCGGGCACCCTGCGCTCCACCGCTCCGCTCCGCGGCCCCACCGCGCTCGGCCCGGCGGGGTTTTGCTCTCTTTGCTCTTTTCACCCCTTTTCCCCGCGCTGGTCTTTTCCGCCCCCCCCCCTTTCGGCGGAGGGAGGGGACGCAGCTCCCGGCGCCGGGCGGGGCAGGGCAGGAGGCCGGGGCGTCGCGGGGCCGCGCTCGCCACTTGAGAAGCGCGGCGGGGTCCGCTCTGCTGATAGATTTACTTTCCCGTTAAAGATATACTCGGAGGCGGCGCCACGTGACCGCGTGACGTCAGGCGCCCCGCCGTGAAGTCATGCACAAACTCGGGTCGCTTCGTGGGCTGTCAACAAAGAGCGCGGAGGCTCCGCTCCCCGCCGCCCGCCCCGTCCAGCGCCCACCGGGGCACCCCCAGCCCCCCCTCCCCGCAGCCCTAGCGGCTGAGCGCACGCTCCGCCGGTGCGGAGCTGAGTTAGGGTTCAACACCCCCCCCCCAACCCCCGAAATTTGGGCTCCGAAACGAGGTGTTGGTGTTTTTCTCGATGTGTGTTGTGTTATCCCGAGGAACGGCTGCTGATCGATCTATCCGGTTAGTTGAGAGGAGAAATCAAAAAGACGTAAAATAACAAAGAAACTATAAATAAAGAAGCTTTGAGCCGGTTCCTTTATTTTGTTCCTCGTTTGTTTTGTTTTTTTCCCCTTTTCTCCCCCTTTTTCTTTCTTTTTCCCTTTTACTCCAGAGGTGTTAACGACTTAATCATTGCGGGCCTTAGCATATGAAAAAGTAGGAAACGAGGCAGTGTGTGGGAATGTGAGCACCGTATTGCCGCTGCCCCAGGTAAGCCCCGAACCGGGCAGAGGGGCCCACCGGGGCCGTAGGGGCCGGGCACGGCCACCCTCCTTGCCCCCTCCCGACTCCCAGATTCGCCGTTCAGCTCCTGCCTTGCAGTGCTCGTTACGAGTCGTCGGGTTTCGGGAAATACAATTACACTGGGAAAACGCCCCGCGAGCGAACGGTTTCGCACCGTTCTGGGATAGGAAAGTCAAATCCACCTCTTTCCTCCCCCCAAATCCATAGCAGCCCCGAAATACCGGTGCCCCCGAGCTAATACCCGGCCTCGACGGGGCCTCTCTCCGACCCGTTTTTACGCGTTTCCCTGCGGATCCCTGCGGCCCGTGGCCCTGCCCTCCGCACCCGCGTACCGCCCGCTCACACTCACACTCTCTCAGCCCCCCTCCTTACACGGCAAAGCCTCTCCCAAGGAAAAGGAAGGGAAAAATAAAAGACCAACTCCCCATTTTTGCGCTTTTGTTCGACACAATAAAAGTCAAATTAATTGATTCATACCATTAATGACGGTGCTTAGCGTGAAAAGAAACGTTTCCCCTCGATTAGGGCTCGATTGTACTAAGCCCATGCTCAATCACGGCTCCGCGCTCCTCCGCGCCCTTCCGCGGGCCTGCAAACGGCCAAGTTTAAGGAAGTATTTAGGAGCCCACCCGGCTGGATAATATTTAGGAGACCACCAGGGAGGAATGGGAAAAGCTTTCCTAAAAACCAGGGAACTTATCCCGCGTTATCCCGGACCCGCGGAAGTCCAAGGGCTGAGCGGGAGCTGCGCCCTGCCGAGCACTGCAATAATCAAAAGGGCTTCGGTAATAACGCCTCCAGAAATAGAAAGTGGGCGCCCATATGGATAGATAGATTTAGCAACAGGAGCAAAAACAAACTGTATCGTCCGGATCGATACGGAGTCAAATAGAGACGCGGCAAGCGGCGGGGAAGGGAGGACGGGCACAAGTTATGAGAGAGAAGGAGAAATTAATTACAACTCAATTTGATTCTAATATGGCAAAGCAAGATCCCGGCTGCGGAGCGAGTTAAAAATAAACCCGGAGGCTGAGGCTCGGGGGCTGGGGCGATTTCTGCTTCTGTAATCGTTTTAAAGGAAGGAGAAACCCAAGGTGTCCCCTTTCATCTCCTTAAGCCTATTACTTTCACTAATGAGTTATATAAATCGTTGACCTGACCTGGATTAAACCAGCATCGTGGTTCGTTATCAACGCGAAGGGGACGGCAGGAGAGGGGCTGCGAGGGAAAAAATACCCCCATCAAATAACATGTTCCCCCGTAAAATAACACAGCCAAAGGAAGGGGGACGCGGTAGAAGCATCCCCCGGCCGGGACCGGGGCTGGGCACACGGCAGGGGCCGGGGCCTGGACCCCCCCCGGGCCGGCTCTTCCCTAAAGACGCAGCTTTCCAAATAGATACATGTCTATTTCTCCTTTAAATATATATTGGTTTTAGGCCTCTATTTGCAAGTGGGTTTTTTTCTGTTCCTTTTTTTTTCCTGTTTTCCTTTTTACCTTTCCCCCCTTTATATCTATTTCTTTTTCCATTGCAGTAAATCGCCTCCAAACCCGGCAGACCTCAGTACAAAACGAAATCGCTCATGTTTCCAAAACGGTTTCGGATTTATTTGTATTGGAAACGTCTAAACATCCATTCTGTAAAAGGCAACACGTTTAATTAACGATGAGAGAGCAGTTAGGGGCAGAAAGCTAGTAAAATTGTGTGATAAATTTATGGCATTGTTAGCGTGCTTTTAATTATGGCTATTATGTTAATTATTTCACATTAGCATGGAGTTATCAGCAGCATGTCAGATTTAATCAAAACCAGCCTTTCTCTCGAAAATTGTGCTTTTCATTCGCCGGGAGGAGGACGGGGGGGTCCCGACCGAAACCGCTGCGTCCCCCCCATCCCTTTTCCTTTATTTATTTAAGATAAATAAATGAAGGCTTTTAAAAGAGGACTTCCCGTGGCAAAGAAGTGGCTGGACGTGATTCGGGCTGGTGCAGGCGGCAGATCCCTTTAGGCTACTGCGAGCAGCGCAGGGAGGCGGAGGAGAGAAGCGACGCTCTTGTTTTTTAGGAATTCACCATTTTCACCCCCTCCGGAGAAGGCATTTTATCATTTCGGATCCTTCTGTCAAACAATGTGATGTTGCTCGTTTTTATCTGTCCCGTTTTACAAAAGCCCCCGTTCGACGCTGCTGGCCAGGACAACGCGCCCGAGTACAAAAGAATAAAAGAGACAAGCCGGGAGGATACAGGATCTCTGCCGGGATCAGACAGGAGGGAAGAGGAGTGTGAGTGAGTGAGTGTGTGTGTGTGTGTGTGTGTGCAAGGGGGGGGTGCGGCGGGGCTCGCAGCGGGCCGGGCCCGGCTCTTTGCCCGGCGCTGCCCCGCAGGAGCTCGGCGGTGGCTCCCGCACACGCTCCGCAGCCCCCGGGGGGTCGGGGATGTCGGGGAGGCGACCCGCGGGTTCCAGGAGCGCGTTCGGTGCCGCCCTGCGAAACGACAACAGAAAAGAGGCATTTACAGTTATAATGATAGCAATAAATACACCGCAGCGGAGAAGTTTCGGGGGGCTCCGTCCGCGCCGAGATGCGGAGCTGCCACCGCGCCCGCGGACAGCAGGGGAAATCACGGCCGTCCTCACCGCAGCGCGCCCGCGGACCGGCCGCTCCGTGCCGAGCCCCCTCCTCCGGGCGGCCCCGCTCCCCCTTCCCCACGGGAGCGGGGGGCTGCGACCACGGCAGCTGCTGGCTTATTTTTAGAGCATTTCCATTCCTCCGGTTAATTTTAGATCGATTCATTATTTAGCCCCAGTTCGCCTTTAGGGAAACCCAAGCTGGGGGCGGCCGCGGGACTGGCCCCCCGTGCGGGGTGCGCGGCCGCGGAAGGCAACTTCGGGACCCCCCCCCTTCCTTTATTCCCCCCCCCCCCCCGGGGCTGCTGCAGGGGAGACAACCCCAAACCAACCCAAACCTTCCCTTTGGGGAGACACCCCAATATCCTCGCTTTCTGCTCCATGGATTGGGATGGGGGGGACCCAGCTCCCCTCAGCTCACAGGGGGATATCCCTGTGTTGGATACGGGCAGGAAAACGTCCAAAAGAAGGCAGCAGCGCTCAGGTGTCCCCATAGAGTATCCACTCGGGACTGAGAAAACAAACCCGGAATGGTCAGAAGAGCGGAGCCCAGCAGAGCTTGGAGATTCGGGTGCTTTAGAAAACAGGGAGAGAGCGAAGTTAATCAAAGGATTTAAACCACGGAATTATCATTGAGTAGCGGTGTGAGCAGAGGAACTCTACTGCCTTTTATTCAAGACAGCAGTGAAGTCAGTTCAGCTCTGATTTTGGGACCCCCCCCCCCCTCCAGTCAAACAGTTGTCAGTTGTTCAACCAAAATTCGTTTAGTCTTCATGTTTCCGTTTCGGAAATCCCAGCTCCAAGCAATTGGAATGGGTGCCCCCGGGTTGTGCCTGCCAGTCCCGCACAGCCCCAGCATCCAGCAGCGTTGGTTCCTGGAAGGAATCTTACCCCATCCACCTCCAAGAAAATGGCTAAAACTTGTCCTCTGGACACCCTGCCAAATTCCTGTCCCCGGAGGAGGCTCCTCTGCTGTGAGGGGTAATAAATACACAGGAGCAAGCAGAGGAGAGTCTCAAAAACTCCTTTAAATTTGCTTTATTGTACTCTACCAAGGGAAGAGGATGGGTGGAAGGGGTCACCCTGGACCAGTTGCTGGTGTGGGGCAGAGGGAGGTGTGTGGCAGTCAATATATGGACTCCGTGCTGGGTGCAATCAGAATCATAGCCTGGTTTGGGTTGAAAGGACCTTAAAGCT